TTTTTCAAGAACAGCTCTTATCAGAACTATGGCTTGCCCAAGGTCATCCAGCCAGGTGCAAGTGGAGGAGTGGGGAATCAAACCCGGTTCTCCCAGATTAGAGTCCGCGCACTTAACCATTATACCAAAGTGGCTCTCCAAGAAGTGTGTGTATGTGGCTTATATAGGGGGTGTTTAGCTTCAGTAAAGGAATTATGGTTTCAGGAGGGTAGCCATATTGGACTGCCATGGAAAAGCTAGATTCGACTCCCATCGCACCTTAGAGGCCAAAAAGATTTTGGGGGGTATAAGGTTTCAAGAGTCAAAAAGAGCTTTGACTCTCAAATGCTTATACCTGGAAAAACTTGTTGATCTCTAAGGTGCTAAGGACTCAAATCTAGTTCCTCTATAGGAATTACGAAACACAAGAAGAAGAAAAAATAAATAAATAATGACCAATCATCTTAAAATTTGGTTTTTTTTTGGGAAAAATATTAAATCTTGAAGATATTTAAGTTTAGAAGATGAAGAAGAGAATAGATTGGATTTATACCCTGCCCTTCACTCAGAATGGCTTAGAAACTCCTTTCCCTTCCACTCCCCTCCCCTCCCCACAATAGACACCCTGTGAGGTAGGCGGGGCTGAGAGAGCTCTTTCCAGAACTGTCCTTGAGAGAACAGCTCTGACAGAACTATGGCTTGCCCAAGGTCATCCAGCAGCTGCAAGTGGAGGAGTGGGGAATCAAACCCGGCTCTCCCAGATTAGAGTCCGCGCACTTAACCACTACACCAAACTGGCTCTCAGGTCATTGGGTCCTACTGAAACTTTTCCCCTGCACTGAAACGCGAAATGTCTCTTGTCATGCTACTGAAATGTTGTCAGCTCCAGGCTCCCCACTGAGATGACATGCCTCCCTCCTTTCTTCCATTCTTATCTAGTATCTCTCATGTAGATTGTAAACCATATGGGGCAGGGACCATTACCTGTGCTTCATCTGCTGCTGGCATCGATGGCAGTTAGGTAGCACTATCAAAAATGGTGGGATGGATCTTACCCCATCCTACCATTCCACTGTTTATTGACTTACCTTTCTTTCTGACTCAAGTTTGAAGCCTTCCCCCAATCTAAGGAGACGTCCTCCAAATTAAGTGGCTCCTCTGTCTGAGGATGATTGTCCCCTGGAACGATTCCCTGTCTAGGGTTGACAACTAGGGCAATCTGACAGCCATGCTGATTCTGTGAACTTGGGCAGATCATGAGAGGGAGGGCAGGAAGGGTTGCCTCAGTGCTTAGTTCTCGTGGCCCTTTCTTGCATGCCCAGGGAAATGCCAATCGCCACTTAGGGGTCAGGAAGCAATTTTATCCAGGCCAGTTTGGCCAGGGATCCTGGAGGGTTTTCTGGTTATCTTCTGGGCATGGAACAGGGGTCACTGGGTGTGTGTATGTGGGAGGTACTTGTGAATTTTCTGCATTTGTGGACTAGATGACCCTGGAGGTCCCTTCCCACTCTATCATTCTATGGTTCTATAATTCTGGGTTTGGAAATTGCTGAAGATTTGGGAGTGGGACCACCTGGGAAAGGTGGAATTTGGGTGAGGGGAGGGACTGCAGCAGTGTCTAATGTCATCGAATCCACCTCCTAAAGCAGCCATTTCCTCCCGGGGAGCTGATCTCTGAGGTCTGGGGATCAGTTGTAATCCTAGGAGCTCTCCAGATCCCACCTGGAGGTTTCCAGCCCTATCCAAATCCCCCTATCAACCCAGTCAGCTTTCCTTCCGTCCTGTCCACTTATTATCTATTAAAGATAGGAAAAAGGAAGCAACAAAGTTCCTGCCAGGCTTACCTCCAATCTGTTTGTCAATTGCGGAGCTGGTAGCTGCATGTGCGACGTTGCATTGGAAACTTCCGGACCGCCAGCTGGAGGACGGGACGGTGAGTTGGCTACTGAAGATGTAGTGGCCACTGGATGAGTGCAGTAGTGCAGGGAAGTTCTGGATGCCGGAGGAGATGGCGCCCGAATTCCACTTCACGGTGGCTGGTTCAGGGAAGTAACCGGAGACCAAGCAGCCCATGGTGACCTGGGAGGCGGAAGAAGTATCTTCGCAGCATGGGGACAACGGGAATACAGACGGGGCTGTGGCTGTTGCTGTGGGAACAGGAAGGAAGAGAGAGGGTGAGGATGTGCTCCCCACAAAGGAATGCACACATGTCTTCTGAGGGTGGAAGGTAGCTTACGAGATAGTATTTTGTCATCCTCAGAATCGCTCTGTGTGATAGGTTAAGCTGAGAGACACTTTCATGCCAAATCCTTCCAGGGCCTTGCTCAAAAGCTTCCAGATTGCCCGGATTTAAGACAATTGCATAATTTCTGCTGCTGCTTTTCCTAAAAGGTGATACTTTAGGGGATTGGAGCCACTGAACTGTCTATACTAGTCTGCAGGGGTCATTTTGTAGAAAAAGAGGTGCAGGAGCTCATTAGCGTAACTCATTAGCATAACTTATTTGCATATGCCACACCCCCTGACATCACCGGAAGTGTGTCAGAAGGCAACACCCACCGCTCAGGCTCCACTGGACTGTTTTGGATTGCTAGCTATTGGGGGGGGGGAAGCATGCAGATCTGTC